AGGAGCCAAAGCCAATGTTCAAGGAGCAAACGACTCCCTTTTGCTCTCTCTTGGCCATGTGCACATTCCCAGTCTCTCATCCATGGCCTGAGATGCATCAGAGCAGCTGCACCTTGACCAGTTTATAATATCCTTGCTCCAGCCCTGCAAATACCATTCCCTTTTGCTTCCTCCATGTCTCCTATGGATAAAATAAATCCCTCTGAAGTCAAAAGCACCTAAACAAACTAACATTTCAGCAGGCCTTTTGGGAAGCATTGCCATAACTGCTGTTTACCAACAGCAGTGGAAAACATTCAAGCTTTTTAAAACGGATCAAAATACTTCTGAAATTTATCAAATTTTCAAATTACTTTGAGATACAGATCCAGACTTTGATGGCAATTACAACTATCCTCTGTTTCCAGCAGAATTCAGCACTTGTACCCCATTAAATTCTGTTCAAAGGGACAATTAGCTGGAGGACTGACAGTAATTTCACCAGTTCATTTACCAGAAGAGACAAAGGCAACCTGAAACACGTTAATGTGAGAGCCTCAGAACTGGTATCACTCTGTGCTGCTGTGCCACAAACATACTGCTAGTGGAAGGGATGTGGCCATGGTGTTAATGGGGATTGCATGGGTGTAAATAGTGTTTTGCTTCATAAAGTCTGGCTAAGGTGAACAAATTATTTAGCTCATACTACAGCTGAATGAAGAGCTCAAATGCATAAAAGGGTGTAGCTAAGAATCGATAGTGGATCACCAAAATCACTTAATCATTGTTTTACTAATCTCCCTGCACTATCTGAACTCAAACAGACTCCTCACACTGAAATCAATGGAGCTGATATACTCATTAACAATGAAACCATCAGAGTTTGAAACACTAACTGGGAGCAGAGGAGCTGAAAGCCATGCACAATGCATGGGCTTGTGCTCCAAAGCTTCCTGAGGGAGCAAGAAACTCTCTAAAAACTATCTTAAGGGAATTTCCACAGTCATCTCCTGCCGAGGGTAAGCAGCTGTGACTACAGGTGTAACAGCACATTCCCAAGAGGGGATATCTGATTTAGGGACTGGACCCAGACCCATGGACTGGACCAAGCCCCAAGGATCTTCAGCCACAGCTCCTCCCAGGGCTCAGCTTCAATGCTCAGTGCTGCCTACACTGGGAATTTCTGCACCTGGGAAGGGTCTTTGTTTCCCAGTTCTGATCCTGCTACCTTGCATCACTTTGTATCTCATGAGGCAGATGTTTCCCATTGGTTTGGGGGCTATGCAAGACCCTTTGGAGCAGCCTTTGCATCCCACACTGCCTCTTATCTGTGCTCTTCCTCAGTAGCTGAAGTTTGCCACATCCTCCTGCCAGGCTTCCCTGCATGACTATCTCAGCTCTGACCTGCACATCTGACACTCCTGTCCTGAGGCTCATTTCTCCAGAGTCTGTCTGTGATAGCTTTTGGTTAGCATCCACAGGCTCCAGACAGTCTCTCCCCAAAGGATATTCTGAAAGACATCAAATTTCTGACCAAGGTTTTGTCAGACTGCCTGGAAAAGGATGTTACTCAAAACTACTCAAATAGAGCATTTTCTTATTTTTTATGCAATTATTGAACAAATATCAGAATGCAAAATAGCCCCTGGGATTGGAAAATGGAATTAAATCTTCCAACAAACATGAGAAAATGGATACTGACATGTCTATTAGCAACAAAATGTTTCATGCTTAGAAACTGGTAATCTAACATTGCTCCTGGGAATTCAGGATGGTGAGGAAAAACAGTCTGAGATGGCATTGGGAAGTAACAGAGATACACATACATTCCAGTGAGACACAACTGGATGTGGGGTGAGCAGGAGGGCATCCTGGTGTCAGTCCCACCTTGTGTGCTCACAGTTCAGGTCACCAGTGGAAAGGACCAGCCCAGGAACACTGAGCCCTGCACAATCAGGCACAGGAGGTCCAGCCCATACAGGGTATACCCTCCAAGCTGCTGGTGTGGCCACTAAGCTGTGTCAACCCCTGCAAGCAGCAAGGAGGGCAAAGTCAGGACTCAAGGTCTGGCTGAGCTTCTGCAAGCACCATGCTCCAGCCTGTCACTGTGACATCCATGATTCAGACTGGCTCTGAAGTCACTGGTTTATACCAGCTGGACAAACTGGTGGTCCAGCACTGTGAACCACACCCTGACAAAAGATCCCCATTTCACCCAAATGATACGAGAACTGTCCCAATGCACAAGGGACATGGTGGGCTTGGCAGTGCTGGGTTAGCTGTTGGACTCGATGATCTTAAAGGTCTTTTCCAACCTAAGTCATTCTATGATGTCCAATGTACTGTTTTCCTACAGGACACAGGATTCTCCCTGGGCTCCCTTCTGAGGACACAGCCCTGGGAAACAAGCAACTCCCAGTGTAACAACCCCAGAGCTGAAAACAGCATCACCAACCGAGTTGCATGACAGTCTGGAAGAAGGAGCACTGGGGTGAAGTGCAGTAGGTGTGCAGCTACACCTGGGGACTGCCATGGTATCATACTCTGTTTAAGGGGTTCGAAACGACCTTACAGATCATCTAGTCCAACCCCCTGCCCTGGGCAGGGACACCTCCCACCAGAGCAGGTTGCTCAAGGCTTTAGCCAACCTGGCTGTGAACACTGCCAGGGTTGGGGCAGCCACAGCCTCCCTGGGCAACCTGGGACAGTGTCTCACCACCCTCACAAGAAAAACTTCTTCCAAATATCCAATCTAAATTTCCCATCTTTCAATTTCTCCCCATTGCTACTTGTCCTGACACTGCAATTCCTAACAAAGAGTCCTGCTCCAGCTTCCCTGGAGCCCCTTCAGCTCCTGGAAAGTTGCTATGGTGCAGCAGAAGGGAAAAGTTGGCACTGGAAGTTTGGTGTGTGTGTCCCCAAGCTTTGATCACCAACCTGGTCACCCTAAGGAAGAATCACCTGGCCAAAGCTCCCTTTGGAATTTACTGTGCAGAAGAAGCAACAAATGACATCCCTGTTGCACAGGTCATTTGCACAGCTCCTACACTGGATTTTAGCCTTGGTGCAGTTCTCAAAGACAATATACAACCTAATCTCACTCACACACAACCTACATGCTGCCCACCAGGCTGCTTTCCTTCCCCTCCTCCTGACAGCACTGCTCACTGAAAATGGCTCACCCCCTTCTCTTCCATTCCCTATTTAATGGCTTTTGAACTTCAAAGAGAGGTGAGAAAACCCTATCACTTCACCATGCAGTTCGATATTATGCAGCCACATTACTGAAGAACACCTACAAAATACACTGCTAAAATAAACTCCCCTTTGAACTCTTTCAGAGAGCTCAGAACACACTGCCCTTCTTCCCACACAGCACTGAAGCACCTACTTCAATTTACCCAGGTACACGCTCTTCTTGGAGTCGAAAGGACAAATCATGTGCTTAAAATTACACATTTGCCTCAAGTACCTGGTTGAATCTGAGCTTTTATATCTAGAAGCTACACAGTAGAAACTGGAAACATTATTCCTGGGTGAACATTATACACACATTGGCAGATACACTCCAAAATTATCTAAGAAATCAAACTATTTATTGCTGATAGAAGATGTCCAACTCCAGCAGACTGCTCTGAAACATCTGAAATAAAACTCTGCATAATGCATTCTGTATGAATATGGATAACCCCCACACTATATATGTGCCTCATGTACACAAAACAGCAGAGCAGAAATGCTCTAAACATAAATTGAGAATATATGAGGCAAGAGTTTAATTGTGGTTCTCATAACAGCAAAGTGCTGGAGCTACCCACTTATGATTAGCCTTGAAAAGCATCATGAAACTAATATTTTAACCTTTCATCTGTAACATGGTCTTTACTAATAAAATTATCCCAGAGTCAGCCAAGCACATAGCTGGTGTCAACTACTTAATATGCAGAATAAATTAAATGCCACTTACATAGAGCAAAGAAATACTCAGCTAATTTCATGCACTTTCACGCAGTCCTTGTGCTGGTGCAGCCACACAACAAACAGAGTCAAGCCCTGTGTCTCCTGTTCAAATCCTGCCCTTTTGCAAGGAAATAATGCAACTCACTGCTCTACTAACCCCACCCTGTGCAGGCCTGCCCATCATAGAGCCATCAAGGCTGGAGGAGACCTCTAAGATCAGCAAGTCCAACCATTAACCTGTCACTGCTTGGAACCCCTAAACCATATCCCACAGTGTCAGATCCAGATGCCTCAAACACCTTCAGGGATGGTGACTCCAACACCTCCCTGGGCAGTATTTTGGTGCCTGAACACTCTACTGGTGAAAACATTTCTCCTAACATCCATTCTGACTCTCCCTACGCTCAGCTCAAGGCCATTGCCTCTCCCTATAGCCATGACATGAGAGACATTCCCCACTTCTCTCCAACCCCTGTCAGGTAGCTGCAGAGCAATGAGCTGGCAGTGCTGAAACAAGCTCTGCACATGTGTTGAGTCTTTGCAATTGCAAACTACTGTCTCTGACTGTACCACAAGGATCCCAAGTCCCACCTGACCACACTTGAGGTATCATGGAAAGATAGTAACAGAGACTTGGGAAGAGTGGGGGACCTGGCTCATATTTCTATCATTAACCAAACCAGGCTAATAATCCCACTTCATCTTTTCAAAGCAAAAGTCACCTCGATGAGACAAACATCTTGATCTCCACTTCAATCCACTCGCACGTCTCCTGCTACCAGAAATGAACCCATTGGTCCTTTATCTGACTTGCTGTTGGCAAACAGCCCAAGGAAGTCAGCAGAAAGACTCTTGAACACTGATTTATTTCCATCAGGTAATAAAATTCCCCATATTCCAAATCAAATATGGGGAATACCAGGAGAGATCTTTTGAAAACAACCACACTCTCTCCTACTTAATGACATATGAGCAATAAGCAATATAAAGAACATATAAAGAAGGAAAAAATGGAAGGTGCTGGACACCAAAAAACTTAGCTGCCAAGTGTCTTTGGCTACCTGCAGAGTAAGGCTCTTGCTTCTCGCTGTGAATGAACTCTTTTCGCTCATATTTGGCTCTGATCCACTGTTCCCGCAGCAGTCTGGAAGAAAAAAAATAGAGAGAAGGAAACATGGTCCAAGATACACTAAGAAAAAATCCAGAACCATTAATTCTTCAGTCAAAACACAAGTGTGATTTAAAGCCTTCCAAAAATTGCATTGTACAGTCTGGAGTTGAGGGTTTCTTCTGCTTACTGCTGGACAACAGTAAGTAATTTCATTGGACATCCAATTTTATTGGAAACCTATTGACTATAATGTACAGATTTAGCAGAACAGCTCATTCCCACCCACCCAATCAGCTTCTACAAAACTCCCTCAGTGTATGAACCATTTTAACCCTGATTTCCTCAGACCACATTCTCCAGTAAGGGATCAGTAAATGAAAAAACAAACAAACTACATACCGAAAAGAGATCATTGCCCTGAAGTTATCAATGCAGAAGCAGAAATTGGGGATGCCTTGTGTGATGCATGTACCTGATGACCTTCTGGCTATCAAAGATGCAGAGATAAACATCTCCTTGTCATGCATGGACAGCTATCCCCAAAAGTGTGATGTGTCAGGTTAAAACTACACTTGGAACCATGAGGGGTAGACCAGCCCAAGGATGGGTGACACCTGTGACTTGATGAACGTGGTGTCACACACCTCCCAAACTGGGAACAACAGGAATTCAAGTGAGAAGTGACCTCCTCAAAATGAAAAGGACATAGAACACTCATATCCCAGGCACTGTCCAACCTCCTGGAAGGAACAGTGGTGTGAAAACTGAAAAGGACTCAAAAATACCAGGAGAACATGGAACATGTCCTGGTAAGGATGAAAGGGCTGGAACACAGGACCCAAACACCAGAGGGTGGTGAGAACCCACCTGGCCAAGCTCTTCCAGACTCATAACCCATACTGGTAAGTCAAAGAAAGCAACCCATGATGCATGGCAGGAAACAGAGGATTAAAAAGTCCTTTACCTTTAATATTGAAATTATACCAATTACACCAAGACCTTAACTTCCCAAAAGGAAAAAATACTCCAAAGATTATAAATACTTTTTTTGCTATTTTATTTTAGCACAAGTGCTGGAAGTAATGAAGTAGTTTTGATCTGGAATGTGCTAGAAATTACTTCAAACCATTTTTAACTGCACTTAGTTTTTAATTGCCCTAGAACCCTAAATAGCCCAAGCAGGCAGAAATCACACACAGAAATAAGGGCATGTGTTATCCCAGCTTCACAGCAGACATTTCAGAGCAGCCTACACTGATGACAGCAAAAGATCCCACAGCACTGGGTGTATTCTGTAAAACCACCACACTTCCACACATCAACTTCTCTGCCAATGAAAACTGTTGATATGCTTAATCACCTTTTCTTTTTTGCTGATTATGCAAACTCCACGGCATCTTTTCAGCAGACACATCTCAGAAATGCTCAGAGGAGATAAATTTGCCAACATTGCTTACGAAAATTCACCTGCAGGTACAGCAAATGCATTCACAAATCTGCAAGACTCTATCCAATGAGAACTGTGGCTCTGATTGGTTTCCTGGCAATAAAGGAGGAAATAATTACAGAGGTTTTGTTCCACCAGTTGTGTCATCTCTTTGGTTGGGGCACCAGCTTTCTCAAAGCTCAAGGAGCACCACTGTTTCCCTGCACCCCAAACCCACAGTTCTGCCTTTTCCCCTTCTGTTCCTGTTGTCATGACTGATCTTTAGTTGTTACCCACACATCCGTAGGTTTGACTGTGAACTCTGAAGATGAACACCCATCTCCCTTCTGCTGCCACCCTGTGCTATGCTCTGGTTTGGGCATGACCCATCTTCAGTTCATCTCAGGAGGTTCAGGTGCACTTTGTAGAATCATTGAAAGGTTTGGGCTAGAAGGGATCTTAAAGGTCATCTAGTTCCAACCCCTGCCATGGGCAAGGACACTTTCCATTAGACCAGGCTGCTCAAACCTCATTGAGCATGCAGAGGAGCTCTTCTGGGTCAAGCAGGATGCCCTTTGTGGATCTGATATCCACAACACACTAGCTGCAAACACAGAACACTGATGACCCAAAAGGTAGCACCTAAATGACTGTTTCTATGTTGCTGTCACTCAGCAGCAAAGCTACCAAAATTTAATCATAAAATCAACACAAATACTTAAATTTGCTACCCTTCCTGCAATTTTCCCACTCCAGCTGCTGTGGACAGCTTGTTATCACCGAAGTCAAACTTGGACCTTTTCAACAAGATGATTAGAGATTGAACTAGACGGAAGAAAATTCACACCACCCTCAGCTCCAGCTGACGTCAGTGGATTCA